ATCTGGCATTGGAATCGACGGTGGATACTAGATCGGAGCCTCCAGAATTCATAGAGGACATGGCGGAGCCTGTAGTACAACGACCGTCGTATCCCACGTCACGGTCGATACTTTGCCGAGCAGAATCCGCAGAAATTGACCGAGATCGAACGTTGATATTGACCCTAGAATCTCGACCGAGGGCGGGAATTGCCGACGCAGCCCAGATCGAGGTAGAAATTCCCGATCCAGAAGGGGGACCCGAATCTACGCCAACGACTAGCCCCGACCAACGACTAGCCCCGATGCCGATCGATACCTGAGCGGCGATGCTGAGGGCGGCGGGATAAGTGAGAGGATACCGGACCAGGCCACCGATCGGACAGGCACCAAGAATATCAAGACGGAAAATCGGACTGACACCAAGGATATCGAGCCGAAAACGGAAAATCTAAACTGTCAAACCCAGATCAAACTCGATCCCGGCGAAGACTTCGATGCTAACCCCCCAATCTACCCGGCCGAGGGCGTCGACCTACGAGATCCGCTGGCGGGAAGAGCAGCAACGACCACCTCACAGGATGCCGAGGACGAGGACGAGATATATTACCACGAGAGTGGCGATCTCTCAGCTGAAGATCTCGAGGGAAACCTGGCTGTCCTCCCCGAAATCCCGATCTCGACGACCGCGAAGGTCAGCATCAAGGATCTGCATGTGGGAGACTCCGGATCGGCCACACCCGAGGAGATCGAGAAGCTTCGGCAGCAGATCGTTTGGAAGAAGCAGCACCTCCTAATCGGCAAAGGGAACGCCTTACCCCTGGCGGCCAAGGACGTCGTGTGTGATATCGATGTCGGAAATGCGAAACCGATCGCATTGCGAACCCGGAAAGTGCCCCCGCGATTTCGAGTAAAACGTGGCAGGCCTGATCAAAGGCCTCCTGGCCGCCGAGATCATCTGACCCTCGACATCGCCATGGGCCTCACCGATCGTGATTGTTCGCAAGAGTAACGGCGTGGATATCAGGTTGTGCATCGATTACAAACTGGTAAACAGCCTCACAAGGTTGATGGTCTACCCTATGCCCCTGATCAGTGATCTGCTAGAGGATCTTGATAAAGCACTATGGTACTGTTCGCTGGATATGGCTTCTGGGTCGTGCCCATGACGGATTGGGATCGCGAGATCTCAGCATTTATCACCCCGCTTGGATTATTCGAATGGAGTTGCATGCCTTTTGGCTTAAAAAATACACCGCAGATTTATCAACGCCTCGTAGACAACGCGTTGTATGGATATCTGAAAATCCCGCGATCAAGCGACGCCGGGAATACAACGGACGTGTTCCAGACAGGGATCGCGGACGATCCTGATCGTGCCTCAGTGTTGGGACGAAGATCATACATTGACAACATCATGATCGCTGTGGAGGCGTGGGATCAAATGTGCCAAAGGTAGGAAGATCTGTTGGAGGCTTGTGATAAGTGGAATTTATCGACCCGTGTGACAAAGAGCTTCTAAGGCATGGTAGGGTAGGATATTTGGGGCACCGAGTGTCGATCGAAGGTCTAGAGGCGAATCCAAAAGATCTGAAATCCCTGACCGATCTATCATTCCCCGGATCACTTCGATCTATGCAGTCGTTCCTGGGTAGTCTCAACTATTACAGCCGATTTATTGAAGACTACGCTATTTACGTCTCGGTGCTATACGAACTACGCGAGGTGGAGTTTCCAGAATTGGAGAAACGATCTGATCTGAGGAAGGTTATGGACCAGAACGACCCGATCGCACGGGATAATGCCACACCAGAGCATCCATTGGCGGGGTCATTAGATGAGAGGTGGATCAAGCCTTCATCACCCTGAAGGCCAAGATCGC